GAATAATGAAGGTTGAATCCTCTTTTTTAGAGGCAGGCTTTTCAAGCACGTTGCATTCACTGTTCTCCCAACTTGGTTGTTGCTTCCTTGACCTTGCCAAGAACGCTTGGGGCATGATTGTGGCTGTTCGTGTCTTTGCAGATTTACGTAATTTTCATCAGGCTCCATGCATCGTGTTCATTGACGAGATTGATGCCATTGGTCGCCAGCGAGGAGCCACATCTCCCGTTTCGTCCTTGCAAGCCTGGATGTTGCTCCAGTGCCAGATCATGCAGGAGCTGGGATGGGAGGTGGCAACGACGAGCGTGAACAGACCCTGAATCAGATCTTGACTGAGTCCTGGCTGCAAGCCAGCTTAAAGTTTGAGTGATCCAGATCACTTAGACTTGAGCAAAGCATGGAGGGAAGCAGCTCAGGAGATGGATGGCTTCGAAGGCCGAGCTCAATGGGTAGATATCCATGATGAAGGCATTGCACGAAGCTGTAGCAGCTAGATCTTGAAGGCAACAGTGGTGTCATTGTTGTCGCGGCCACAAACAGATCTGACATTCTGGACAATGCATTGCTGCGTCCAGGACTGCTTCTTCATAGTATCTTTTTTTGTTTGTCCAATGGGTACCCAACAGTGCCGTCGCTTGTCAACTACTTAGGACGTTTCGATCGACGCGTAACCGTGGGCCTGCCTGATGTCAAGGGACGTCAGCAGATTCTGAACGTGCACATTCGCATCTTGGGCAGAATCTGCTAGCCTGCTGGACGGTGATGCAGGCATGATTTGCATGGGGCATTTTGATGACGTTTGATGAAGACAGAGCTCTAGATGCTAGTTTAGGGTGTGCTGAGGCAACAAAAAGCTGGAAGAGGAGATCACGCTGACAGATATCGCAAAGCGGACTGCAGGCTTCAGTGGAGCTGACCTGGAGAATCTGATGAACGAGCATCTTGGACATGAGCCGGATATCGCTCCATGCAACCCTGAACGGCAGGATATTTCTTTCCGATATCCAAACAAGCAAGCAATGTGCATTTGGCCCAATAGTATGAACAGACGCGCCAGCAGATGTTCAAGGTCAGCGATTCTGGCGGCGCGCCGCAGCAAGAAGGCCATATCCATGGATGAGATCAACGATGCGACTGACCGTGTGATTGCAGGACGGCCTGCTCCACCCATAATTTCTGTTCTCTTT